GAAACTGTGGTACCAGAGTCTACTGGCAGTGAGCTCGAGGGTATAGCAGATAGCATTATGGAAGTAGCTGGGAGCATAGGCAATGGCTGTGAGTTGGAAGGTCAGAAAAGTAAGGAGTAGGTTAGCATGCAAGGGGCTGTTAAAAGCTTGAGTGGATCTAGTTTGCTCAAACCGGGGGTCCATCTAGAGGTGGTGCTGGGTCGGAATAATGGAATGGGCCTATGTAATGGGCCTGTGGATATGAGGGCAGGAGGGGAGACGCAAACCCAAGGCTCCAAGGCTGGTTTTCAAAGAGGGCTACAGGTTGAAAAGAGCCCTTTAATAATATGTTCTGACTTATTTGAATCACAGTGCAACGAAAGGAAAAAACTACAGAAGAATAGAGGGATGAAGAGAGTAGTTACGAAATCTAGTGGGAAGAAAATCAGAGAGATGAAGCAGGGATATCTTAAGCGTCCAAAAAGCCATAATCATAGAGGAGCCTCTTCTAGTAAATTGGGACCGAGAGGTGCTATATGGAGAGCAGCAGCTGCGGTAGCATCAGGTGTAGATTCAACAGCTAGTGGAGTAGCTAGAAGCAGATCGTTGCTTAAAGAGGCTCAGGGAACTATTCAGATGGGAAAGTTGTTGGGTATAAACTATAAAGGTAAAGAAGAGGAAGTGCTAACCAAAATCTTGGACCTTGAGGCAAATGATAGAGCAAGGAGGGGAGGGGAGGGGAGGGGATGTAGTTCTTGTGGATTAATAAGATCTTGGGGGGTCAGAGTTCAGTGTAAATGGTTGTGATGAAGCTACTAACATGGAATGTCAGAGGTTTGGGGAGAAAGGAAAAAAGAAGTAAAATTAAGAGGTTGTTGAAGGATAGAGGTATTGATATAGCTCTTTTTCAAGAGACAAAGAAGGCCTCCATGTCTGAAAAGGAGATCATAGAGATTTGGGCTAGGGATAGTATGGAATATATGACTGTGGATGCTGAGGGCTCTGCTGGTGGCCTATTATGTATATGGGATCCAGCTATTTTTCAGATGTCAAGTTGCTGCTGTAATAGAAGGTTTGTTCTTCTCTCTGTGTCTCTATTCTTTTCTTTTGATTGTGTTTTGATCAATGTGTATGCACCAAATGAAGTGGGCCAAAGAGGTAAATTGTGGGAGTGTCTTCTAAAGTTAAAGGAGGAGTATTCTAAGCCCTGGTATATAGGGGGGGACTTTAATGAAATTAGAAAGATTGGTGAGAGGAAAGGCTGCTCTAGGAGGGACAAGAGGATGAAGGAGTTGAATGATTTTGTTGATAGTAGTGAGTTGAATGATTTGCCTTTATTAGACCGAAGGTTTACATGGTGTAATGCTAGGGAAGGGGAGAAATGGAGCAGAATTGATAGGGTTTTGGTGGACCCAAAATGGGTGGAATCATTTAAAATACAATTCAAAATTACTTTCAAAACTCCTTTCTTCTAATTTTTTTTTTATAATTATTAATCAATCACTTTTTCTCTCTCATCTCTCATTTCTTCTCTCACATTCTCTTACATTCTATACATCAATAAATAAAGTACGTGCTATTCTTGGGGCTAACGAAATTTCTGTGTCCCATCTTCAATTTGTCGATGATTCTGTTATTTTTTGTGAGGCAGAATGGGGGGAAGTGGTGAATATTAAGAGGATTCTGCGTTGTTTTGAACTAATCTCCGGGCTTCGGATCAACTACCACAAGAGTGTAATTTCTGGCGTCGGGGTACAAGATGACCTGTTGGATGAATTTGCTGGTAGGCTGAATTGTAAGTGTCAAAAGCTGCCTTTTAAGTACCTTGGGATGCCTCTTGGGGCTAATCCCGGGAGGTTGAAGACTTGGAAACCTGTTGTGGATAGAGTTAAAGTTAAGTTGGCAAGTTGGAAAAGAAGGTTCTTATTCCTCGCAGGAAGACTAACTCTTATCAAAGCAGTATTGTCTAGCCTCCCAGTATATTATCTCTCTCTGTTCAAGATGCCTGAAGGAGTTGCTAAAGAGCTAGACAAGATTCAAGCTGCTTTTTTGTGGGGTGGATCGGTGATTAAGAGCAAGATACATATGGTTAAATGGTCCGAAGTCACTCAAAGTGTTATTAAAGGAGGGTTAGGCATCTAGGGATGTTAATGCTTGCTTGCTACTTAAATGGTGGTGGAGGTTTGGAGGTGATGAGAATTTGTTGTGGAAGAAAGTTTTATGTGGGAAATATAACATCCAAGGCAGCAAGTGGTACCCAAATACGGAAGCCTCCCAGATGCATTCCCGGTTATGGAAGGATATACTCTCTGTGGCAGCTTCTAGCCCTGGCCTGCATAGCTTCTTTATCAGCAATACTTTCATATCGGTTGGTAATGGGGATAGAACTCTCTTTTGGGAGGATAAGTGGGCTAGTGCTAGGTGTTTAAAAGATGATTTTCCTCGACTATATCGTATCTCCCCTGATAAGCTGAAAACAGTTAAGCAAGTGATTGATTTAAGAAGGAGCTTATACGATTGGGAGGAATGCTTTACTAGAGTACTCCGAGATTGGGAAAAGGAAGAGGTGTTTTGTTTGTTTAATTTGGTAAGTAACAACCGTGAATTGAGAGCTGATAAGGTTGATGGTTTTTGTTGAGGGGCTGAAAACTCGGGCTGCTTTAGCGTCTCATCTGCATATAGGTGGTGTGAGAATAGTCTAGAATCTAATGACTATGGTACTATCTCCAAGATGATATAGCAGAATGTCTCGACTCCTAGAGCAAAAGCTTTTGTGTGGCTAGCTTGGAGACAAAGGTTAAAAACGTCATCTTTCCTTCAACGGATTGGTGTCATTCCAGTTACTGCTAATATCCAATGTGTGTTTTGTAAAGCTGAAGTAGAGGCTGTCAATCACGTTCTGTTGTGGTGTCCTTTTGTTTGGAGGGTGTGGGCTGATATACTTCTCTGGTGGGGATCTCAGTGGGTTATGCCGGCAACAGTGGATGGAGTTTTACAGTTTTGGGCCGGGTTTTCAGGTAATAGTTTTGAGAGAAAAGTCTGGAATGTGTTGCCTATAGCTTCCTTGTGGTCTATTTGGAAACGCAGGAATGAGGTGCTGTTCTCTGATAGACAACCAGATCTGCATGGTCTATGTGATCTAATTAAATCCAGGACTGCTATGTGGGTTAGAGCTACTGACCCGAAGCTGCCTTTCTCTGTTAATGATTTCTTGTTTAACTTACAACAAATTAAGTTTTGTAGAAGAGGGATAGGTTGAAGCTGTGTGCAGCTGCTGGAATGTTATTAGCCTTACCTCTTATACTGATCTTGGCCTGTGTTTTCTTTTACTGATTTGCTGCTGGGGTATTCTGTTTTCTGAGTACTTCTGCTTCTGATCTACTGATTTTCCGTGTATTTCTATGTATTTCTTTTTGTCTCCTGTTTGGTTGTGTTCCCCGGTCTTGGGTGGTGGTGTGAGATACTCTATGTCATACTGATTTTGGCTAGTATGCTGTGGCTCCTCTAGTTGGTCTCTCACCAATTGGTATATTAGTAGGTGTTGGGTTAGCTTTTTGATGCCACCTTCTGTTTGGTTTCAGCTAGCTATGCTGGATGTTTCTTATGTATTGGTGTTTTCATATATATATAAATTTCTTTTGTTTGCCGATCAAAAAAAAAAAAATGAACATGCAGCCATGACATTTTGAGTTGTATGCACTTTTCTACCTCGATATGGCATTTGGTCACCTTTTGGTGCCACAACAACAATATGTGTGCCATCTATGGCCCCTATTCCACCCCCTGAAGTTTCTAATTTCATAACGAATCATCCATTTTATTAATTAATTATCAAGTCAATTAATAGTTTTTAATGATATTAGAAATATGTTTCAATTAATAATTTAAGTAATTTTATTATTGTATAGGAAAGCATTTATGAATTTCATTTTTTTGATTAATTTTGTTAAATAAAAAATTCTGACGATGGGGTATTTGTAATTTTTAAAATCACAGAGGGCGATACTTTAAGCAAATCTCAGGGGTATATTTATAATTTACCTAAAAAATAAAAATGCATACGAGATATGCACTTTATTTATAGCAAGTCTCATAATTTTGATATAACTATATTGAATTTCTTTAAGATTGTAATATATAGAATATTTAGTTATATTTTCATCAATAATTCATTAGTTAAATGAATAAAAAAAAATTATGGTCATAACTTTTACACTAAATTGTATATATATTTTTTTGTTTATTCTTGTGCTTTCACACCATTCCATTTGCATTAGTTTTATTTTATTTAGTTTTACTAAAAGAAAAGTTAATATAATTATATTAAACTCTAGAATTTCTTATATTTTTTTTTCAAAACTAGGGGTCAGTACAATTTACCTTAATTTATATATTAGAATGTCGCATTAGTCTAAGTACATGCGCAAAACAATGGGCCCTTATGCGAAAAACATACAGATTACTTTGGGGTCCATGTCATAGATTTTAATTCTATATATATATATATATATAACGGATGATTTTCACTGTATATTTAATAGTCATCAAATATGAATGTAAATTTATAATTAATTTTAATTAAAAAATATTATCACACTCACCTTAAATGATTGAATGAAATCTTTCTATTACAAAAAGAGAAAAGTTAGAAATCATAAAAAAAAAATTCATGAAAATGATTATGAAATATTTATGATCATTAAATTACCTTGATTAGTGTGTGATGCTTTATTTTAAGTGTAATTTAAGGATCATAAAACTTTCATGATTATTTTCATGAAAAGTTTTTCATGATACGTAGGATTGTTGTCACAAATATGCAAGGGACAGGATCACAACCCTCAAGGCAGTACCATACCTTTCAGTATACAGATAGATGAGCCACATATTTGAGCGATGGTAATTAATTAACCTCAAGCCACCCCCCAATAGCACTTTGAGCAGTCTATCTGTTCAACAATAGCCACGTGGCAGGAACCCATTAACTGCTTATCTGCTATCCACTGTCCATACCCCGCCCAACGCCAACCAAAACCGAAACAGTTACACACATACAGAGGCTGAAACAACTTCAATTCCTTTCCTACTAGCAACTTAGCAAGCAAGCAAGCAAGAAAGAAACAGCACGTTCCTCTTCTTCTTCTTCTTCTTCTTCTTCAGACTTTCTGTTCTGATTCAACCAACCTTTTATAGTGCATAATAATATTTCAGAAGCATGGAGACTAGCATCACGTGCTGCGCACGTGGGTTCCTCCCTGCAGGTGTCTCTTCTCAACATTCAACTGCTTTTGTTTGTCAATCTTCCATTTCTCCATCCTTCTGCTCCAAGGTACATAATTTTAGACTTCTATGCTTGTGTTGAGGTCCTAATTTTAAATTTTATAACAATACCCTCTTGTGATTGTTCGTACCCTCAAACATTTAATAACTCCAAAGAGTTATGCTATATATATATCTATATAATTGAACAGAAAAAGTCAATATAGAATGATATGATTTTATCTTTTAAAGCAAAAGAGTTATCGAAGTTGTTATAAATTTCAAAATATGACTGCTATATACCATTGAAATATCTCAGCTGAACACTTCACTTTCTATGTATTTTTTCATGTCGCCTAATAAGTTCCATTAATGCTGTTTTTTTATTTTTTATTTTTAGAGAGTAATGGTATAAAAAGAAACAAAATTAGCAAACTTATAAATTGATGTAACACTATCATATCCCATTTCACATTCTAATAGTTTATTATTGCTTGTCATATCAATTTATAAGAATATTTTATAATAAAATAGAATAAATTTGTTTGTATAACATTTTGAATATATTTTTTAATACAGTGGATCCTACATGGATATATTACTTTTAATATACATAAAAGTTGAAAATAAGAGATGAAATAAATGTAGTGATAAGTAACATTTCTCTTTTCAAAAATATTATCGTCACATCATCTTGGTTATAAAGTTTATATAAGAATTATGTAAGAAAAGGAGCTATATGATAATGAGTATTTGGTGACCTCACAAAACAACCATGCAAATTACACTTGAACTGGAAAAGTAAAAACAAGAAAAATGTATATGAGCAGAACTTGAAAAAGGGTAGTGAAATGCATTGCAGAGTCTGAAATCGAGCTCACTATTTGGGGAGTCCTTGAGGATCATGTTAAAGGCATCATCAGTTAAGGTGTCAAAGACCAACAACTCTTCCCTTGTAACCAGGTGCGAGATTGGTGACAGTCTGGTAAGTTTAACACCAACTGCCACTTTCATTTTAATACCCATTTGGTTGTATTTTTGTTTTTTGAAAAACTAAACTCGTTTGGCTAATTATTTGGAAAAGAAAAATTTTGAGAATTTTTTTTTCTCTGAAGGACCTAGATGTTTCTTAATATCACAATTGCAACTGACAAATCATTTTAAAATAAAAAATCGATCACTTTAAAAATTATAAAAGAATAGTATTTTTATTTTTATTTTTTGGATAAAAAATATTATGAGAGTTGTCTGTTTCCAAAAACATGGAAAGTGTTAATATATGAATATAATTGTATATGAATATAATATAATACTATATCTGTTGTTAATATATTATAGTATAGACACCAACTATAGCATGATATAATAGGATTCCCTTCGTCACCCGCTTTCGGTGCGCCATCATCCTTCGGCCCCTTTTTCTTATTATATTCAATTGTATCATCATAATGTTTCTGTAACAAGCTCCTATATAATGGAGTCTCAATCTTGATTCAATATACAGAGTTTACATTACAATTCTCTTTCAATATTACTCTCTCAATTTGTCTTTCATGGTATCAGAGCACAGGTATTCTTCCTAAGTCTCTGCATCACATTTTTTCTTGGCAGATTGCTGCGTACCTCTCCCTTACCTAATATACAGATTGGACAATACCACCACCTTCGTCTCTCCACGACGAAGCCAACGCCACCAGATTCATCCTCATCTGACGGCTCACGCGCCTCCACGCGCCGCCAGAACATTCGGCCACGCGCTTGATCGTTCCAGACGCGCTCTACGCGCTTCCTACACTGTGTTGTGCTATTGTGCGCCGTGGCCTCATCTGCTAACGTGAGCCGCGTGTTTCTGACGTCAGCTGACGTCAGCCCTGACTGCTTCCATGCGCCGTGTGTCTTCGCCTGCTAACGTGCGCCGCGCCACTCCCTGCTAACGTGCGCCGCGCCATCCTGTTTGACCAGCAGCGTTGACTACTCCATTTTCAGCCTTTCTGGTCATATTTTTGGTCCGTTCACTCCTTTTCTGACTAATTTTGACCATCTGAATTCACTGGTAACCTCAGATTTTTCAGATTCTACCTCAATTGTGCCATTTTTCTCTCATGGATCGCCTGGACTCCTCTAATCACCCTATTTCCGTTATTCTTGACGGGACTAATTATGTCGCTGCGTACATCTCCCTTACCTCATACACAGATTGGACAGTACCATCACCTTCGTCTCTCCACGACGAAGCCAACGCCACCAGATTCATCCTCATCTGACGTCACACGCGCCTCCACGAGCCACCAGAACATTAGGCCACGCGCCTGATCGTTCCAGACGCGCTCCACGCGCTTCCTACACTGTCCTGTGCTATTATCCGCCGCGGCCTCATCTGCTAACGTGAGCCGCGTGTTCTGACGTCAGCTGACGTCAGCCCTGACTGCTTCCGTGCGCCGTGTGTCTTCGCCTGCTAACGTGCGCCGCGCCACTCCCTGCTAACGTGCGTTGCGCCCTCCTGTTTGACCAGCAGCGTTGACTACTCCATTTTCAGCCTTTCTGGTCATATTTTTGGTCCGTTCACTCCTTTTTTGACTAATTTTGACCATCTGAATTCACTGGTACTCTCGGTTTTTTCCGATTCTCCCTCATTTGTGCTATTTTTCGCTCATGGATCGTTTGGACTCCTCTACCCAACCTATTTCTGTTATTCTTGACGGGACTAATTATGTCTTATGGGCACAAGCTATGTCTGGCTTCCTCAAAGGAAAGAAACTTTGGCGCATCATCACTGGGGATGTGTGCAAACCCGTTCAAGGGACCACAGATGTTTCCTCAAAGGAAAGAAACTTTGGCGCATCATTACTGGGGATGTGTGCAAACCCATTCAAGGGCCCACGGATTCTGCTGCCCCAGACTCCGCTACTAAATATGTCGACCGCCTGGAAGATTGGGATAGTAAAAACTATCAGATCATCACTTGGTTTCGCAATACTTCTATTACATCTATCAGCCTTCAGTTTGGTCGGTTCCAACTTGACTCTGCTTCCTCTCCTGCCAAAGCCATCTGGGATTTTTTACAAGAACGCTATCAGACTACTGGCCTTGCTCACCAATATCAGCTTCTGAGTCATCTTCACGGTATGCGTCAAGAAACAACTCAAACCATTAATGATTTTCTCTCTCAAATGTATTATGCTTGGGATCAGCTCGCTCTTTCTGAACCTCCGTGGGATTGTACTAAGGATGCTACCTTGTTTACTGCCTACCGTGACCAACAGCGCTTAGTTCAGTTTCTCATGGCTCTCACTCCCCGATTTGAGCCAGTCCGTGCATCTCTCCTTCATCGCACTCCTTTACCCACTCTTGAGCACGCAATTTCTGAACTCTTGTCTGAGGAAACCAGATTTGGTACTCTCCATCCACATCCTGTGGACTCTGTTCTTGCCACTCCCCAGATTCGAAGTTCTCCTTCCTCACCATCACCACAGAGGTCCAATGCCTGCAATTACTGTCACAACCGCCATCTTCCGTCGACTCATCTTCTGGTTAATTGTCCAGTTCGTCTTTGTCGGTTTTGCAACAAGACTGGCCCTGGTCATCTCCAGCAAGATTGCTTCCGCAATCCAGCCCGTGCCTCTCGCAATGGTCCTTCCACCGGGAATTTTTCTCGCAGCCACTCTCACCGTTCTGGGACTCCGTTTAAACCAATGCCTGCTCAACGAACTGCTGCTGCTGCCTCAGAGGATTTACCTTCCTCTGTCCCTATAGACCCTTCCATTCCAGTCTTCTCTCAAACTGACGTCGCAGCCATGTTTCAACATTTTTGACAGAATTCCGGTACTCCTCCATCTACTGCTTTATCTGTCACCGCAGGTAACACTTCTTGGTACTTTGACTCTGCTTGTTGTAATCACATGACCTTTGACCCTACTATTTTTACTCCTCTCTCTTCTACTCCTCATGTTCCTTCTATCCATACTGCTGATGGGTCTCTTCTGTCTGTAAGTCATGTTGGTTCTGTTTCAACCTCTCACTTATCTTTATCCCATGTCTATCTTATGCCTGCTCTTACTTTAAATCTTATCTCCATTAGTCAATTATGTGAGCATGGTCTAACTGTTACCTTTTCCCGTACTGGTTGTTTGGTGCAGGACCCTCGGACGGGGCAAACTCTTGGGATAGGCCGTAAGCATGGACGTCTCTACGAACTCATCCATCTTCATGTTCCAGACTCCTCTCAGATCACAGCTCCTACCACTGCTACCACTGCTACCACTGCTCCTCCATTATCTCCTTTTCAGCTTTGGCATTGTCGTTTAGGCCATCTTTCTGTTGGTCGTTTAAAATCTCTAATTTCCAGTGGTCATTTAGGTCATGTAAGTTCTGATGTTTTAGATTGTGTGTCCTGTCAACTTGCCAAACAACCTGCTTTGTCGTTTAATAAAAGTGACTCTGTTTCTCTTGCACCATTTGATCTCATTCATTCTGATATTTGGGGACCCTCTCCTACTTCTACTATGGGAGGCGCACCCTATAGATGATTTTTCCCGTTTTACCTGGTTATTTCTTATGAAAAATCGCTCTGAGCTCAAACAACTTTATTACAATTTTGCTGCAATGGTTAAAACACAATTTTCTAAAAATATTAAGCTTTTTCGCTCCGACAATGCCATGAAATATAAAGATTTTGACTTTCTTTCCTTCCTTCAGAGTCATGGTACTCAACCTCATCGTTCATGTCCCGGTACGTCTCAACAAAATGGACGTGCTGAACGGAAACATCGACATATCCTTGACACTACTCAAGCTCTTCTTCTGTCTTCCTCTTGTCCGGAACATTTTTGGGGAGAGGCAGCTCTCACTGCTGCTTACACTATCAATTGTATCCCTACACCTGTCATTCATAATCACACTCCTTATGAACGTCTGCATGGCACCCGTCCCCCTTACACCAACCTTAGGGTCTTTGGATCTGCCTGTTTTGTTCTTCTTCAACCTCATGAACGTACCAAACTTGAACCACGTTCTCGCCTTTGTTGCTTCTTAGGGTATGGTATTGAACACAAGGGGTATCGTTGTTGGGACCCTCTCTCCCAGCGCCTCCGTATCTCTCGTCATGTAGTCTTTTGGGAACACAAAATGTTCTCCTCTCTCTCTCTCTTCCGTTTGTCCGTTCCCTCACCCTCTCTGTTTTTTACTGACCCTTCCACGGATCTGTTCTCTGATGAGCTTACCCCACCGCCCTTGCTAGCCTCTCTCGAGTTCTCTGATGAGCTTACTCCACCGCCCCTGCCGGCCTCTCTCGAGACTGCCTTGCCCTCTGGTCTGTCCCATGCCCCTGCTACCTCTGATCACCCCAGGCATTTGAGGAACCCTTGGTGCAGAAGGAAAGAAACGAGAAGTGCGGTCTTCATAAGTTGAGATGTTACCAGAGTTATCCTGACTCCCAATAGAGAAAGAGAGACTTCCATTCATATGAGGAAAGCAAAGAGAAACAAATAAAAGCCTTTAACATCAGTGAAATTAAACTGGACAAGCATATTAATGAATACTGATAAAATGTCAACCTAATTTTAATTAAATTAATTTTAAAACTTAGCAAATTACAGTTACAATTGCAGTAAGATCATTTTTACTTAGAAAAAAAAGAAGAAGAGGCTTTAGAGTGGTAGGTTTCAAGATCATCAGCCCTTTTTATTTCCTAATTGAATATGTTCAAGCTTTTACATTCAGCTAATATCTAATTCTAGCATCAAATGCTAAACAAATTGACAACCAGCCTCAATAATGCTGAAGCAGAGGACCATCAACCCAGCAACCTTTAATTCAAACCCTCATTCATATCAATTAATAAAGGTGAACCATCAATACCTCTGCCAGCTAACTATTATCGTGTATAACCAATAAGCGGAATGCTCTAGGACTAGTGATCATCACATTCAATTTAAGAGATTGAAAGTAAACCAAACAAATTAAGAGAACCCCAAATGTGAAAGTACCTCAGAAATGAGAGAGATTATTCAAATGGACGTGAAAAATGCTTTCCTTAATGGTGTTTCTTCTTGAGGAAGTCTACATGCAACCTCCTCCTGGGTCTACTTATCCACCTCATAAAGTCTGCAAACTTCAGCGTGCTCTATATGGTCTCAAACAAGCTCCGCGAGCTTGGTTGTCAAGTTCAGCTCTACTATTCATGACTGTGGTTTCACCTCCAGTTCTTATGATACTGCTCTTTTTATCCGGAAAACTGCTCAAGGGACCACCTTGCTTCTCCTTTATGTGGATGATATGATTATCACCGTGACGATCTTTGATGTATTGTATGCCTTAAACAGTTTCTTAGCCATCATTTCGAGATGAAAGACCTTGGTCCTCTCAGCTATTTCTTGGGTCTTGAAATCTTCCATGATTCCACGGGGTCTTTTCTCTCTCAGGCTAAGTATACCTCTGATCTTCTCACCCGCGCTGGTCTTACGGATTGCAAGACTGCCTCCACTCCCCTGGAGCCTCAGAGTCGTCTTACACCTCTTGATGGCACTCTTCTCTCTGATGCTACCCTATATCGTCAGCTGGTTGGCAGCCTTGTCTATCTCACTGTTACTCGTCCTGATATTGCCTATGCCGTTCATATTGTCAGCCAGTTTATGTCCGCTCCTCGTACCCCTCATTATGCTGCATTAGTTCGTATCCTTCGTTATCTCAAAGGTACCTTGTTCATGGGACT